AAGTGGTGTCCCTTTGGATGCAGTAGTGGTCGCACAAGTGATGGCCAAATGGCGGTCGAGTAGTGACTCGTCTGAAGTGACTTTTGAACAGTTGGAGACAGCCTTCGAGTCGACCATTGGATCCATTGGTCACGAGAACGACCAACACATCCAACGAATCCAAGAGCCCTCGGACTCGGGATCGAGACATCGACAGCGCGCTCACAATCAGACCAATTGCTCGTCACAGACACCACGCAATGCTCGTCATCACCACAACTCATACTACTGTACTTCACATCAAACACACCATCAGTACCACAACAACCATGTGATGCATACATCCAATCACTCGAATCACTTGAATCACATCCATTGCAACCGAAGTAATAGTCATTCAAATCAATGCAATCAAGAGTTGGCCGCCAATGAAGAGCTCGACCCTCAGGGCTATCACTCGAGCCATGGGTTGCAGCAGCAGATGAACTACAGTATAGATCAGACAGAGTTTGAGCGCATATGGCGTCAGTTGGAGTGCAACAGAGATCGCTATCACTTCCTGCAGTCGTTGTACCGGTCGTCCGGAAATCTGGTCTTCTCTGAGATATCGTTCGGCTCTTTGGGAGACATCGCGTCTGCCCTCCAAGAGTTCGACGACTCTGTGGACGACTTCGTGTTCGTGGTCTATATCCTCAACTCCTTGAGTCGCGCCAAACGGTTCCTCCTTTCACTCCAATTCCTGACTCTCGAGGAACGCATTGAATGCAAGAAACTGTTTGTTAAGCTCTGGAAGAGTATGAATGATATCCGCCAAGACTTGGCTGAGAACGACATCACAGAACTCACTATCAATGCCCTCATGAAAGCCTATGAGATTGACATCGATTAGTGGCCAACAACTCATCCATTAATTCATTTTTGTTTAGATTTTGTTATTCAATACTTTTATATTAATATTAATGAATATATAGTTTAATCATTTTTTGTATGTTTTAGTAATTTATTTGTTTGTCAAATGTTTCAATGCATTGACTTCTCTATTATGCGGTGAATGTTTTCAAATGCACTCATTTATCCCTTAAATTATTTAAATCATAACTCATTTAATTTATAATATATAATATACATTACCGTACAGTATATGCTTTATTATAACGTAATAATTTTATTGCAATTTATTTATCTAACCGTAAATGCAAACTATTTCAAATTACATATAAAAATACATTTGAAATAATTTTTAAACTTAATAATTTGTGAGTCAATATTTAAAAAATAAAATTAATGATTACTTATAATGAAAATATGTTGTATTCATTAATATCTGATTGTATGTATTCGTAAGATAACGTAACATGGTACAGTAACTTACCGTCGCTAAAAATATTGACCTTAAATCTTTAAAACGTAAAATATAATATAAATTTGTTAAAGATTCATATTGAATATTGTACCAGTGTTAAATACTCGCGAGTATCCCGGTCACAAATAATTTAAGTTATTGTACTACCATTTTGAAAGAGTTGCTTTTGATTAGGTGACCAAATCTATATTCAGTAATGTGGTCCTTATAACTTAAATTAAGAATTTAACTGATTTTTACAATAATTTAATAGTAATTTATTGAATATATTTGTATTTACAATATTGTATTTATAATTTAATAATTAGAGAATTGTTACAAGATTTATTATTGAATATATTAAATAATTCATAACATTTGTCACTCAATCAGAAATTCATAATAAGTTAAAAACGGAGAAACATTAAATTGTTAAAGATTGACTATTGTACATTATGTTGTAAGTTCTAAAGGTTCATTTTCATAGCCGCAACTGGCAAACTTGAATACATACAGTGTATTAATATCTAAATAACTGTTTTATTTGTAAATTTTGCGAATTTATAAACTAGCGAACGCTGTAATACTGAATCTGAAGTGAAGTGCTATTTATACTGAACTGCGATAACTGACTGAATCGACAAATTTGATGTTACAATGGGATAGTTAGTTGAGTTGAGATATGTTTTTGAGTAAAGCCTCGCGACTATTGCTGGCACTCATGGCATTCCAGCCATCGGTGCAGTTGTCGTCTAAATTGGGATACATTTCCATGGAATCGAGTCCAGTGTCGGACTTGTGTTCGCTCTGACATTCAGTGCAACTCATGTTGGAGTCATTGGAAGCTGTGGTACAGGAGTCGAGTGGAGGACATCGCGGCGCGAATGTTAAGAGGGAAGAGCTCGAGGCGGCCATCGATTGGTTATAGAAAGTTGTCTTCCAGTTGTTGGAGAGGATAGAGCTGTCGGATCCGCGTCTCTCGTATTTGTTGTAGAGGTTAGGGTTGGGCTCTAGAAACTGATTGTCTCTCGAATAGGAATTCAAAATTCCTGATATATTATCTTGAGATGTGTTTGAGGTTTTGATTTTGTGATCAGTAATCACATCCCTTAACGAATGGCAAGCATTGGGACTCATGTGGAGCCGAGAGGGAGAGAAATCACAATTATCTGCAGTCCTATAACTTTGAACACTGACTGCAGAACTGCCGGGAAATATAAAAAGAGATAAATTCTTCGGGAACTGCGGTGGAGGCGAACGGATCAGTTTGTCGTGAAGATTATCTATATATGTATCGCTAATATCGGAGTCCATCATTGAGTTGGTGTCAGTCGTTGGGTTTGCCTCCAAATTAGTGAATGAGATCTTATGAAGAGATCGGGCGGGAGACGGGTGTCCGGAAACATTCATTTCTGCGTACAGTTCCGCTGCATCTCTAGTCGACAGTCTCTCCAATTGCTGCATAATATAGGGGTTGTCGTGTCTGGAGAGCATCAGTGCCTCCATATCTGAGTGAATATTCTTAACTCTCGGAGAAATGGGAGAATTGGGAAGAATATCAGAATAACACGACTTATTGTCGGCTTCGGGTACTGATAGCGAGTGTTGACATAAACTGCGATTAGAGCACAAGTGGTCATAAGATGTCACATTTGTCTCACTGTTTGTACTCGTATTCTCACATTCTTTCGACTTTTTACTGAAACAACAAAATCAATCAATTCTTATATCATATAAATTCTTGTAACTTATATTACTATAAAGTTCTACAATTAGACATTAGTAGCATTTCTTTATTCAATTCTTACCAAAATATATTTGTAATCATTTCCAATGCTTTCCTTTTAGATCCCATTCCCTCGGAATTCGTCGAATTATTACAAATCATTTTTTAAATTGTTATCATTAAACAAATTCAATGTTCAATTAAATCTTATTAATATATACATAACAATTCATAGGTTTATGTCTATTCAATACACATAAACTATCGACAATTATCGACAATTCAAACCGACTGTTCATTACTAGACATACTTGAGACGGCATCCAGAGTTGAGTGGATATAACGGCATAACTGCGCAAACTTTTGGTCACTTTTTCTCACAAATGCATTAAAGCTTAGCATTAGTTACACCTTATTATTGATCGGTTGGGCACTGAATGACTGCTCGCAACACACTCTCCACTCCGACTCCGCATACAGTATATCATCAAATAAAAGATAAATTTCATAAAATCAAACAATTGTTAGACACAAATATGACAAATTATTTTTGAACCAAAATTAAATATTTTTATTACTGTAATATTAATCTTAGAAAAAGTTTGTCAGTATATATTTTGCTGAATAATGAGATTTGAATTATCATACAATTGATAAAATGAATATACGGTAATAATATAAGTTATTTACATGATATTATTTTGATATAATAGTGAAATGAACTGAAATAGAGATTTCTGGAAATAATGTCTGAATGAATGGTCAAACAAGTGGTGAATGGTTTGCATGCATTTAAGTGCGTTCGCCACGAATCCTTCGCGCCAACTGAATATCTCGCGGCATAATCGTCACTCTCTTGGCGTGAATGGCGCACAGATTNCTATTGCATTACTATAGCATTGACTGTAACACTCACTTCAGTGGTTCACTACTTCCTCCACACATACACTGTATCCGCAAAAGTGTTTGAATAGCATTCAACTCAAGCACCAAATGCTCAAACACTGCACCACTCTATCACTCTATCACTACAGCACTAGTGGTCACCTCTGCGTCCAATTCATGAGTGAAATACTTGTATTGAGATACCGTTACCCATAACCAAATCATACTGTACTGTACATACCATTCCCGTCACATATGCTGCATGAAAATTGTACCAGGGCATTATAAAGGTTCTTTATTATAACCCTTGTTGTGGTGGGTTTTATTTTGCAGTTAGGAAGTCATGTTCACTTTGACCACAACTTACAACTTTTTAGTTTAAATAACTAAATAGATTAGTGTCCCTGGGCATTCCGCAAATGTAAAGGACATAGTTTTAAACTGTACTATACCTACAGTTACTGATGTGTACTGTCAAACATCCTGAGAGGGTGTATCTCCCTTATGCCCACCTCTTTCTTTAAATATTCTATTCAATTGAACTAATTATAACCAGGGTCATTCAATAAAAGTTTGTTTTACAAAAATAGGTGCCATTCATGAACTCATGTCATCTGAGGTGGTCATTCATATCTTATTCATAAATCCTTAAAATTATTTAATTAAATATAATTTCATTTAATTACTTTTAACTAGCTTTAATTATAACTAAATTATAACTGACACTACAATAAAAAGTTTATACAACTTTGAAAGCAAATACAATAGATTAGAGCAATTATAATAAATAAATAATCAATACAATGACATGAATGAACAACACTAATCCCTCATATGAATGATTGCCACATTAGAAATGATTGACTAATTGATGTGACAATTATAGAAAATTGATTTAATAATAAGTCATTCATTGATTGTGTGATTACAGTATTGGGAGTATTGGGAGTATTAGGAGTATTGGACGAATACTATTGGTTCTCTACGTACAGCGACGCCTACCAGTGAGTGCTCGCAACTCAGTGTTTGAGTGTTAATGTTCACTCAATCACTGGAGTCTGCAGTCCATGGATTCAAGTGAATGACTGATCAATGGTTACAGCAATGGCTATGAGATCTGCAAACGAGTGACACATTTGCACTCATCCAAGACAGTGGAAGTGGTGTCCCTTTGGATGCAGTAGTGGTCGCACAAGTGATGGCCAAATGGCGGTCGAGTAGTGACTCGTCTGAAGTGACTTTTGAACAGTTGGAGACAGCCTTCGAGTCGACCATTGGATCCATT